AGAAAAGCGGGCAAAAAAAAAAAAAAAAAGAAGAGACTGAAGCAAAGATGGAACTTACCACCAGGGAATTCTGGATGATAGAGCAAAACAACACGTTTGTTGATCGCCCCTTGTGAGCCACCATGTCGGCCTTGAAATGCAGCGTCTCACTCACTGCATTGGCGACATGGGTTCCTGCAAAATGGAGTCATCGACCTTGATCACTCGGTTCATGTGATTAGTGGCTCGAGGATTCCACTCCGCGGCTTCCACTGTCGGTGGAAGGGGAAGGGGAGTCTGCTGTTGCCGCTGTTGTTGTTGTTGCTGTTGTTGCTGAGGAGCAGGAGGTAACCTACGGCCTCTCCCACTTTGCTNTCACCAAGTTGCATAGGATATTCCGGCATATTTTATGATGAGATTTCGGAAAAAATTATTATGCTACATGAGTCCTACAAACCAATTACAAGCTAATCAAACTAAAAACTGGCAATTCGAATTCTCTTTCACACTTCTAGGGCTGACAAGGATAGTTTACATCTCGTCCAAAAAAACAAAACTCAACTTCCTGGGGCTTTTATTTCAAAGACTTGCATAATAATGCATCCACCTGTATATTATACCATAGTCAAGCACTACCACATAAACGAGTAACCCACTATCATTAGAATCAAACTATATGACAGTCTGTTATGTTATTTCCAATTAACACCAAAAAATGTTAACTCCAATCAAATTCTACAAACTTGCAATTCTAAGAATTCAATTCTTTATGTTATAACAATGATTGCCAATTCCAAAATCTGAACCAACTGCAGCCTTACAGAAATGATCAGATAAATCAACTCTTATGAGTCTCAAAATAAAACAGGTCCAAACTTCAAATGTCACCTTGAGCACATTAGGGCTGTTTACTGGTGTCTTGAAGCTTTCATTTCTATATCCACACAAAGCTGCATTTGTGGCATCCAAATTTTGTTTCAATGATCCTTTTTCCTCATTCAATCTGGAAATTTGGTCCTGTGAAATGAATATTTTAAGTAAAATATATGTCCGATGCTCTTAAGCCACATGCATCATAACAACAAGAAAGAAAGAAAAAACCTTCACAAAGAAATTACTCTCTTGAAAATGCATTGGGTTATGGAGGGGAAGGAGGAGGTGAAAGTAGCAATTGCATGGTCAATATACTATAGCATCTATTACAATAACCAAAGTCTACTATCATATCCGGTTCGCATATCAAGTATCAAAATCTGAGTTGCATTTGACTCCATCGATTCATGATTGAATATCAAGAGAGATTTGCAAAATAAATTCCAGTCACTTGCATCATATGGATTTCTCAGTCTCATTAGGTATATATTTGTCCTGTAAAAAGCTATGAATCATAACATACTAATTAAAAGCACAAACAATTTAGAAGTATAATGAATGAATGAACAGGGATTCCCGGTGAATACTGAAAAATTGAGCACACACCATGGAATCATGAAACTGCCTGGTGAATAACAAGAACTTAAGCATACTGTGCACTTTTATTAACAACCACGAGAAGTATGAAAAGAAGGCATAGATTTTGCCAGGTGATTAACAACAATTTGAGCATGGACCATAGTATAGATTTTCCTTTACCTAATGAAATTCTTACCAGTTTGACCAAAGAAAGGAAAAGTTAAAAAAAAACAACAAAATTACAATTTTTTTTTTGCTGAAAACTTGCTGATATTGCATTAAATGGACCGAGTGATTCCTCCATCTAATTCAAAAATTGCAGTCTCAACTCCCCCAAAACCCTAAAAGCTAAGCCCAACTAAACTAAATGTAAATTTATGTCAACCCCAGACACATGACACAAAAATGTAACATTCTTCAACCACATGCCCAATTATTTGAATACAAAACATCAGAATTCCATACTAATACATAGCCAGCAAATAATTTGGATCCTTAATAGAACCTTCATATATCTGTTCAAAAGGCAAGATATTACATCCCATAAAAATAGACCACTTAAGGAATAAACAAGTACCTCTTTTTCTTTCAATAAAGCTGCATAATTAACTGATAATGCCTTTATTTCTGCCTCAGATTCCTGAAGCCTTTTGATTTCTGCTTTATATTGCTCAATCTGCAACACCACGAAATAGGAAATGCCAACTCATTGGGTAAAAGACTCCCGGATGATAAAAAAATGGAAGTTGAACTTTAAAGAGAACTAGAAACAATGGAAGGGAATATGATCAAGCCTCTCCCTTTTTCAAATCATTATAGCAACAGAAAAAACACCTAGTATAGCAATAGATTTCTCTGGTTGCTGAAAGGTTGTTCAAACAATGAAGTTGAGGATGAAGCGCTCATTGCAGGGCCCTAGTAGCGTTAAAAATTAGTCCAACGGTCCTCAGTCCTCACGATCTGAACATTACCGATCAGCCTCCTTTCTTGCAACAATTGTTGCTTTCAAATAATAAAAGTGTATTTCCTGATTACCACCTTCAATGGCAAAGCAAAAAGATACCACAAACCTATACAACTTGCTGAAATGAAAATGGCATTGTTAATTTAACTTGATTTTTCCCACATATGACAGCACTCTCTACCAAATCACAACCCATTGAAATCATATCCAGGTCAAACACTCTTAAGGACCCGAGTTAACAAACATCAAGATTAAAAAGTGCACAATTCAGAACCATTAGCTCACTCTAAATCAGCATAGAGGGCTTTAGAAATCATAGAAACTTCATCAAGTCACCAAGGAACCAATCATAAATCATCCGAGAGGGCAATAGCACAGATAAGATCTGTATAACCAGATTATAAAGCAGAATTGGGGCGAAAACATCGTAGAATCATAAGCTGCAGGATTTAGCCATATGATGTAAGTAGAACTACGAATTGGATCACACAAGATGGGCTGACTCAATACCAGTACTTATTAGACATGTATGATCAGTTTTGGTTGCAAATAGCATTGCTTCAACCAAATCCGAGAACAAGTATTTTCATAATTTGCATGTATACACTTGAGTATGTTCATTAAAAAAAAAATCCTAGGACACATTTACATTGAGCAATATTGAAATTCATATATATAATGTCTATAATGGAAATAGGTTGTGAGAGAACAATCTGCCATAAAATTTTGGTTTGTCTTATTCCATTTTTTCTGCCAGACTCAATTGCACTTATTTTCACATTTTAAAAAAAAAAAGATAACCAAAAAGTCAGAAAGTGCTAAACTACTATACTCAGAAGAACAATCTATATTCCAAAACATGCAATCTGGATTACAGATTGCTAAAGCACACGCTATTACATAGTTACCCCCGAAAAACATCTCTAACCTACTGATCCTAATTGTAGTTTTGCAAGGCCAAATGTTTCTAATAGTAGATCAACTCATTAACATCACATATTCAAATCATAATAACAATCCACACACTTAACTCCAACTAAAACTATACAAAAACCATACGTTCAAACAATCCCTAAGCATGAATGAGAATTCATATAAATTCAAATGGAGTATTTATCAAAATTGAAACCGAATACAACAATAGTATAAGTGTAATCAATCAAATCAACAGAATATTTCAGCCAACAAATTTATTATACCTAAATTATGTGTGGAATTGGACGATGAATACCTCGGAGTTGTAGGCGGAATCGAAGCCATTGGCAAGCGGAGAAGATGAAGGAGACTTAGAATGTGCGAAATTGTGAGAAATTCTTCGATCGGCGACAGAAGAATCTTCTCCATCACGTGAATTGTACATCGCTAGCTCATCTACATCATCGTCTTCATGAACATCGAGAACGATTTTATTGAGGTTTTCCTTCAAGTTAGCGATTGTATTCCACATCATTCGATCTCAAGCCAACAACTATTTTCTACCAACAACAATCTAACGCTAACGCTCAAAATCGGTGACAAATTTATAGGAGTTTTGTGCTCAATTTAGAGGAAAAAAAGAAAAGGACTCGATTTCAGGCGCTATGTCAGTAGATCTGCGATGGGAAATTTTACTTCACCCGGAAAGAGAACGTATTAAGTTTGGGCCGTTACTTGTGTGATACCTAAATTTATGGGCTGGGCTTTCTGTAATTTACTAGCCGAATCAAAAAGCGNCGGAAAGAGAACGTATTAAGTTTGGGCCGTTACTTGTGTGATACCTAAATTTATGGGCTGGGCTTTCTGTAATTTACTAGCCGAATCAAAAAGCGCTATTGGATCACGTAGATTTACCGGAGTTAAAATATAACGCAATTCATAATACGACATAAATATTATGTAAAATTAGAGCTTTCGTGTATTCTTTAAACTACTCATTTAGTAAATTAGTGTACCTGATATAATTAATAAATAAATCAAATATGAATAAAGTCAATTAATAAAAATGCACTACACGATTCGTTTAGATACTAATTATCCCGATATAACATAATTTGTAAGTACACAAATTAATAAACAAATTAAATATAGGTAAAATATTTTTTAACACTAACCCGCATTACCCAGACAGACTTGAAATTGAGTCCCCCAAAAAGTAAGACCTGGGCAAAGACAAATTGGAAGTGTGGGCAAATACTCAAACTTTTGAAAGATAGAGAGAATTCTGATATACACCACATGTGAGAATCTCACATTAAAAGGAAACAAATTGAAAGAATCGTAATATATCTTGAATAGTCTTATTAAGCGACCAAATCAAATGAAAAACAAATAGTTTCAGTGAATAATACACAAGGGTCTACAGAGGAAACCGACCTTAATCTCCTTTCCTGCGTGACAATATCTGGAGGAAAAAATTCGAATGCACTAACAAACAGAACACTATTCGAATTTGGTTACTTTCACACAATAATTTCCGCCAATGCCCAATAGATAGTCTACCATTAGAAAGATCTGAAAGAAGTCATACTAATATAGATTGCCAGNGCCAATGCCCAATAGATAGTCTACCATTAGAAAGATCTGAAAGAAGTCATACTAATATAGATTGCCAGTAATGTCATTTGACACTGGACAATCTTATAGACTTCTACGAAAGAATGACAATCATTCTTTAAGTCCATATAACATTACTTTTTTGTTTTTTTTGTCATATTCTCCTATTTTCTCATTTGCTATGCCTCATGCAATCACATNATTCTTTAAGTCCATATAACATTACTTTTTTGTTTTTTTTGTCATATTCTCCTATTTTCTCATTTGCTATGCCTCATGCAATCACATTAAGTTGATTTTTTTTTTCTTTTATGTGCAGTAAAGAGAAAATAAAGCATTTGGGGATCATTTTCCTCTTCCTGTAATCCAATCCAACCGCATCGAGCACTTATAAACGAAGTTCACCTCCATTTGAAGCTAGTCCAATTGTCTAAAGCACCTGCTTGGGAAGAATTCATTCCACCTATCTCACCCTTCTAACTTATGATTGCAAAGGAATGCACTTGACCTCAATAAGCATTTAAAAACAAAAATTTCATCAGCCATAAACAGAATAAGAAACGACTAGAACAATTTTTAATCCAGTACAATGATTTATCCCCCATAATATGACAACCAAAAAACCCCAAGGTTTCTTCTCATCCTGACAAGCCAAATCACCCAAAATAAGACCTCAATTTGCAACCTGACCAGTGTAAGTCATATAAGAATCAGCATGCACGTACATCGTAACCTTAGTTATAGAAAAAGCACGGTGTTACAACAATGGCCACGACCCATGATCTCCCTTGTTCTCACATTCTATCTTCTCTCTTCCGAGGGGCACAGGTTATTATTTCATCAACTCTAAGAATCATCTCTGCTGCTTCAGTTGCAGAGAGCAATATTGCTTGTTTAACTTTGAATGACTCGGAAATCCCCAGCTCCGCCATGTCCCCCACCTGTCAAAGAACCAACCGTGAAGGTAACTACACTATGACAGAAAACAGCAAGCAAAAAATTAGGGCAATGCTTCAAAATTGTCCAACTAAATCAGAGCAAACTCCAAAATGGGGCTAGCTCCCTAAAAGAGGGATTGGCGAAGATCCGAGACATCCACTATGAAGGATTAAATTGCATTGTTGAGGTGCAAGTTGCAAACAGACAAATAGCATTCTTTGACCCAATACCCCCCTATTGGCATCGTTATTATGGAATTCTAGTTATAAAAAAAAGGAAGTCACTCCTGAACCGAATTGGTGTTTCAGTAAATCCTTTGAGCAGGCTAATCCTGGGTCATGTAATTGTCAGCTCAAACAACTAAAATCATTATCTATTATCATCTANAATAGCATTCTTTGACCCAATACCCCCCTATTGGCATCGTTATTATGGAATTCTAGTTATCAAAAAAAGGAAGTCACTCCTGAACCGAATTGGTGTTTCAGTAAATCCTTTGAGCAGGCTAATCCCTGGGTCATGTAATTGTCAGCTCAAACAACTAAAATCATTATCTATTATCATCTATGTGGGTGCCTTTAAATTTCATATTATGCTTCATGGTATATGAACGAAGGTCCCCAAAGTTTTGAGGGATGATGAACAACTGTTGTTATCATTATGCAGCTTGCCAACTATGTCTCCACCCAATAAACTAAGAGAAATCAAGCAATATGCAGTTTATATAAGTAATTCAAATTATTTTAATTTGACACCAGAGGCAAACCTTATATAATTCCTATTTTCATTTTGCAATACTTACAGATCCAGTGATTACATCAATCCCAGCACGGCTTCCTTCCTTGTGGTGATCTGCACGGAGCTGAGAAATCAATTCAGCACTGTCCAAACCAGCATTATCAGCAATGATTGTTGGAATGGCCTGGAGTGCACGTGAGAAAGCTTCAATAGCATGAGACTTCTTCCCAGGGGTCCTCCGGGCAAGCTCGTCCACTTCCTTTGTCATCACCATCTCAGGCCATCCACCACCGAATAAAACCCTGCTGTCAATTACAGTCTGGGACAGCACACACAACGCATCATGCAGAGATCTTTCAGCCTCATCAAGCACATGAAAGCTGCCAAAAGAAGTCAATTACAGGTCAAATGTAACATGAGATCAAAGAGATGTCATCCAACTCTGTAATTCCCAACAGAAAGTGATAAACATTGATAGTGAAATCCCTTCTCTTTTCTTTATGAAGCTAAGAGAAACTAGCCATGGGGACATCTCTCCATTTGAGAAATGGGCCCTTCCTCACGGGCAAGCCAACTTCCACAATAGTTTCAGTATGGTCATGTCCAGACCCCAGCTTTCCCTTTTTACTTTGAAACAATGACAACAATCATGTCCACAAGCAGTAAAAGTTTCAGTAAAACTAACAGGATTAATACTCCAAAGCAGTAGATTTGACAAATAATAGTCATCAAAGTGCGTCATGGAAAGTCCCGATGAACACCCAAAACACTATTATGCCACTGGGGAACCATCCTGAATCATGATTTGCTTAACACTAAATCTGTTCTGAAAACAATTCTTAAACCCAACATCTCTGCAGAAACTCATGATTCCAAATCATGCCAACAACAGTGCAAGAGTTATTCAAGTTATGTCCACGTGTACTGACATTAAATTCATGAAGTATCATGTTCAAAACTATAGGGAGAAACTGCCAAAATAGGCCTTCAAAGATTTGACAATTTGCATGTGTCCACACAATTAACATCTTGATGCTCATAATAGATGAAAGACCAATTACGTAATCAGAAGGTAATGAACGCTCACTCCATTTGATGTAGACAGAGATATGGAAGGGTAAGAGCATAATCAAATACAATACCACATATATTCCACATATCTTGGTCAAATTATCATCTGTTCCCAAATATTTAGGATCCAAAATACCATACGATACATTTTTACAGTTTTCATTTTAGACAGGCAACAAAATAGTCAATTAGATATGAAGAATGCACTGAGATGCACAAAAAGGTTATTTGTACAAGAAATGACAAAATAAATAACAATTGGTATTAATATAATATACCTTGCACCTCTCAGCACTATTGTGCAAGCCTGGCCCATTTCAACACCAGAAAAGTGGATCAGCTTATCCTCACCAATCATGATTTCCTCAATGAGCTTACAGTGCCCAAGCTTAACTGTCTCGGGATTGTCAAAGGTTGAAGCAATCTCACCACCAGTAACCAAAGCCAGGCGCTCAATACCCTCAAAGTCAGCATGCTCAATTGCAAGTATTCCTGCATCAGCAAATAGTTCCTCTGGGAAATTGTAAATCAGCTGCCTGTTAATAAAGCAGTTAATTCCATGACCTATAATCTTTTGCACTTTCTCTCTCATTTTTTCCTTTTCAGCCCCTTCAATCTGGGCAACCTTAGACATTGAATCAACACGAACACGGGCCCCATAAATTTTTACTTTATCTGTATCCATCGCAGTATTTGCCACCAGAATCTTTGCATTCTCTATGCGTTTTGGCTGGCCAATGCCAATTTTTTTGTCCAAAATAAAGCTGCATAAAGGATACACCTCCACGTAAGATGATGACAATGGCAATGCAAACCAGATAACACAAAGAAGGAAGATGCCAGTAAAAAGAGAAGGAAAAACCTTTGACACAGTCGTTCCAGAAAACATCAATTTAACATTTAAGCTGTAGTATAAATGTAACATAAAACAAAAATTTCTCCTTGGAAAGCTAGTTGCTTAAGAGTAGTTTCAGTGTCTCACGAACCAAACAAAGAAGACACATTCGGCTATGGGGCATCTATGTGCATACAGAATGCCTCAGTCAGCCGTACAGCAAGGAAATATGTCAGCCAATGGTTTATGCAAAATGGTAAAGGCAATTTTCCTTTCTGCAATTATGCAATATAGTCAAAGGTAATAATGCAACATGTGGTGCAAACTAGAATCACATAACATGAAGTTCATAGGTTGTAAAACCCCACCCTTCGTCGAGAAACGAATCCTTCAGAGATCCTCCAGCCTTCTTAATAATTTGGATGGAGTCTAAGTTTGTGCTGCCCTGGCATTCCATGAAGCTTATCAGACAGACTAGTATAACAAAAGGTAAACTATAGAGTGTGACTAGAAGCATAAAATTAGTGGGAACTATTCTAGCGATATGAAAAAGAATATAATTTTTTGTGTTTGTGTTGATGAATGATAATTTTTTCACAGAAGGATGAAAGGCATAAAAGCCCATTTATACACAAGGCATACGACAACAGAAAGACAAACCAACAAACTGAGGAGAAAACTGACAAACTAGGTCCACCTGAAAAACAACATACTCAATAAGGTAGTGCCGTAGTAAGATAATGCCTTAACAAGTATCAATCTGTAACAGACATGAGTACCACACACCCAACCAACTGGAAAAATAGATAGACAGCGAGACTATATATATATATATATTATGAATGTGTATATATATATACACATATATACAGAGATACAGATAGAGAGAGAAAAGATCCACACAAAATGACAAATAGTACATTCAGTAAGATTATGCATTGAGACCAAGTATCAGCTAGGAACAAACATAGACATACGCTCAAACACAGAGCACCAAACATGAAAAATGAAGAACAGTCTGCTCGGGGTTTGGGTTGTGAATTCATGTAAAATGACATATATCTATATTGAAAGCGCCAGGCAAGTGGTAAATGTGCCTTTTTATTTCGAACGAAGTTAAATGATTTGTTCAATAAAAGTGGAATATGTTCAACTCAATTCATGATCAGAGAGCAATACTTGGTTTCATTTTCAAACAGAATATTCCCCTTCGAACAGCAAAATTGCACTTAGAATATTTATCCAAATCCTAAGCTACTAATTGGAAGGAACTACTCACCTTTAGCCTCATAACAGCTTCAACGGCCAGTTTCGCAAAATGCTCCTTATCCTGGGAGAGTATCTTAGAACTCAAAGTAGTCATCGCAATCTTCATCAAATCTGATTTAAATTTCTCTGCATATTCCAGTCATGTCGTGCATTAGACATACAAGTATGCAAGGAACTACAAAGGAACAAGATAAAGATGGTGAGAAACATTCGTTGCGGTTCAGAATAACCCTCCAATAAATTGATTTAATTAAGCCCATGGGCAATCATCTATGTGAGTGGAAAAGAACTCCCACTGATTTGAGTTCTATCGGAGTATTCTTTTATTGAGCATTCTGGGCAAATATTGCTATTTCCCAACAATCTGTTGGGACTTGGGAGTAAGAATTGAATTGAAAATGATTCAAGTAACATAAGGAAGCTGTACAATAAATTGATAAGTAAGAAGCTACCAATAAGTGCCAAACAGGGAAACAACAACTGGTTTCTTGATAATTAAAATATTAGAAACAATCTATACCAGCATCCTCTTTATTATCAATGACTTTCTGCAACAAAGCATTGCGAGCACATTCAGCTGCCATCCGATAACCTGAAGATTCAAGCAAACATCACACAATTCAATCATCACCTCCAAAAGGAGTCAGGGAGCAATTCTAACTTCTCTGCACAACTAAATGTTCTCCATCAGTAAAAAATATTTTGTAAAAAGGTATGAAAAGAAGTTTAAAATGAACCTGAAATTATTGTCATCGGATGTATCTTTGCTGCCACCAACTTTTCAGCCTCCCGTAAGAGCTCCCCAGCCAAAACGACAACTGAGGTTGTCCCATCACCAACTTCATCATCTTGAACTTTTGAGATATCTGACCTTAATTAAGGATGATGACATAATCTAACCATCCGTTTTGATTTACATATCGACACAGTTTGCACTTATTCAGTAAGCATTATACGACTAACAGCATTCCAGATTAGAAAGAATTAGATTAAACATATAAACCATAACCACATAATGCCAATAAGGATACCAACAAGTACTTTAGCAGCTGCATTGTCAATGTGAAGTGATTTTAAGATGGTTGCACCATCATTCGTAACAGTGACACTGTGTCCTCTGCCTGTTGATTGTAAAATTTTATCCTGGAAAGGGAACACNCGTTGTCAATGTGAAGTGATTTTAAGATGGTTGCACCATCATTCGTAACTGTGACACTGTGTCCTCTGCCTGTTGATTGTAAAATTTTATCCTGGAAAGGGAACACATGAGCACATACATGACGAGGTCAAAGCACAGACTGAAAATTAAATGCCAGAATAGGAGCTCCTTCTCATTCCACAACACAATTGAGCTTAGAAGAAATCCTACCATTCCCTTAGGTCCCAAGGTTGTCTTAACCAAGTCAGCAATAGCCATTGCTCCAATAAAGGATGCCTAAACAACAAAACAGTTTATTAATCAAAAAGATAGAAGTTAGAATTTAAAGCTCAAAAGACAATGTCACCCCAGCAGACAGCAAAACAAATGTAATCCTATACATATATATGTATGTGTCATCAGGAGCAGATATGCCTGCCCCCCAGTGTAATTTTAAAAAAGTTTGGGACCTAGTTAGAAAAAAAAATTGTAAGCATTTAAAACTTGCCTCCCGTTAAAAGTTTGTAAAACATTTGGGGAGTTTTATAATCTAGAAACTAAATGGATTCCTTAATAAATCAAAAAAGTTACTTCGGAAATATACTTCAGACAACAGAGCTCTTCCTTTCCTCTTCAGTCACAAGTCCAACCAATTTCCCTCAAAGAATCACAAGCTACAAAATCTACTTATCTCCACCGTCTGCTTGTGTCTCTTTCTAATCCTCGAACCACACTGATCATCATGTAAAGGGGCCTTTGACGGGAGCCCTAGAAGATGCTATGGGAGCTGTCGAGATGTTACCCAATAACCCATTGAAAATTTCTTAGATTTTGAAAGATTCTGTGAATTTTTTTATTTTCTAAGAGGAAGAAATTGTGGTCTATGAGAAAATGCGGTTGTTTCCTTTCCAAACCATTGTTGGCTGGACAAAGACCATGAAAAAATAAGCAAAGTATGGACTGCCCAAGATCAAAAGGGTTACAATCTTGAACTATTTTATTGGAACACTTGGAAAATTCAGATAGAATGGTTGGTCAATGTCATGACCTTGATTACACAGTATCCATACAGACATTATTTCTACTCGGTGCTACTCTTCAAGCAAGCAAGCTTTCCAATACATTATTTGTTTTTAATCTAATCCATGATGTGGAAGCCTTATTGTCTTGAAGAGTTTTGATTGATGTCATTCAGAGTCAATTGTCCCCTAAACTTGGCTTACTAGATCAGTACTCTCTTTCGCACCATATGTTATTTGTTTTAATTGGGAGCTGATAATTTTAGTTTGAGTTATATTTCAGATTCAAATGTTGGGGATTTACCAATTATGAGTGACACTTTGGATTAAATTGTTTCACTAATTGGACTTGAATAATTTGCTTGTGATTGATTAACTATTCCTCTTTCTAAGTATGGTTTAATATACTTGGGGAAGATTGTACTTTTTTTTCTAAAATTGCTCATTATAAGTTGTCTGTTGAGAATTCAAGGATAAAGTATTGAATTTGAGTCTAACTATACCAATTAATGAGTTCTAGGTTGCCCCCACTGCAGAACAATCCTACCTCCACCCCAGTATGTCATGTGTGTGTGTGTTTGTACTATAAAATACTCACCATTCTGGCCCGCTCACCCTTCTCTTCAATGGCTTCATCCTTAAAGAGATTCTCAGCCTACAACATTCAACAAGTCAAATACAAACTGGATTGATAAAATCAAAACACTAATTCCAAACAGGCAGACTTATTAGTGTTGCACGTACCGCCATGGCAAAGAATAGAGACAGGAAACTGAACACTCTAATGTATTATCTGAAACAATACAACAACTTCTAAACCGTCAAATCTGCACAAAAACAATGCTTCAGAATACTAAACTTTTTTGTGTATATGCCATGAAAATAACACCAATCCATTTTACAAATACAAATGTATGCTTCTCACACCTCCAAACAAGTATGTGTGTAATTATTCGTTTATATGCAAGTATATTCAACCAACTAAATTATTAAACTGCTCAGCAAAAAAAAAAAAGTTAATTTAAACAGTTGGTGCCTAAGAATGCAATCGAAGTCGAATACATATACACAGTTGAAATATGGACACAAACAAGCGATCACAAACCAAAACTTAAGCAACAAAAGGCATTTGATAGATGTGCAGAAATCGAAATCCAACGAAATGAGAGGCAAAACGCACTCGCGCACGTATCATATACAGTTTTTATCAATAACGAAGAAGGATGAGCTTTACCGGATCCGATTGCGTTGCTAGGGTTTCTATACTCTCTCGCTTACTCCCTCAGTAGCAATGGGGGTCTTGCGTCGGCTTAGCGACCTAGGCGTGAAGGCTCACCGCTAGTAGTGTTCAAAATGATCAATTAATTACATTTACACCCTCGAAGATTTATCAATTAGTCATATTCATCCTTTATTGTTGTAGAATGATAANCAACCTAGGCGTGAAGGCTCACCGCTAGTAGTGTTCAAAATGATCAATTAATTACATTTATACCCTCGAAGATTTATCAATTAGTCATATTCATCCTTTATTGTTGTAGAATGATAATGTAACCCCCCTTATTGTTTAATTTTTTTGGGACAAAGTAACAAAAATGATGAAAAAGACCAATTTGCTTCTATTTTCTACAAAATATAGTTGTTGTTCGAAAAAAAAAAGTAAGAGGTAGTGAAATGATGAATGCGCCCTTCATAATATGTGTGGACCTATTGCAAACATACACCATATAAGTATACATAGTTTATAGTTTGTCAAGCATACCCCATATATTTAGACTATAAATCCTATTTGAGATTTTTTTTTCTCTCTATTTGAGAATTAACCTCACTTTTAGACTCATTGTTGGTCGAACACTCAAAATCTATCCTTTGTTGAAACCTCCCCTTGTCACCGTATCCCCCTTCCATGGAGACACTACTTATGGGCACTGGCATATGGTGGCGGCATGCATAGTGGTGATGGTGTGCTTTGTATTTGTTGTTTTGTGTTGTGTATATATATGCATACATGTGTATTGGTAAGAAAAAAATGATGGGTATTAGGAACCTCAAATGGAGGTGGTATGTGTAAAAATAGAATAAAGATGTGCCACCGATGGTGAAGAATGGGAAAGAAGGAGAAAGGCAAAGAAAGGCCTAAACTTCATTTGGTTGAAAAAAATCATTTTGTTGTTGTCTTTTTATATGAATATCCACGGGCATTTTCTATTCTATAGAATATTGACTAATGCTACATGGTCAATTTCAAAGTTTTTATTATCAAAATTATGCTGATGTAACTCAAAATTAGTGGGATCTCTAACGAGAAAAAATATTAAATGTAAGTGTTATTGATATTGCATCCTTATTAATAGTGTTATAACCAATTAATTATAAAATATAATGTGAAGATGATGGAACTTATTATTCAAATTGTTACTAATAAAACACCACATTCAATAACTATCTTATTGGAATAATGTGGTTCACTTGAATAGTGATATAATGTGTCAATGATAAGATAAGTTATTTGATAAATTGTTCTTTGAAGTATTAAATATATTTCTATGTAGTATCTTTAGCAAATAATGTTCAAATTGTTAACGATTTTTTTTTATAAATTTGTCACATAATACTTAATTAGGAGTAAAAAAATAAGTTGTAAAACTCTTGACCAAATTTTTATCAATTCAAAGAGCCACCTAAATTACACAATTTTGATCATAAGTTTTCCAAAATTTGATAAAGAACTATCCATTTTATATATTTTTGGTTACAAATAATTCAAATTTTGGTCAAGAGTTATTTAAATTATTTTTTGTTCATATTTTAGTATCAGATGGTTAGTTTTTGATCAATAACCATTAGTAATTTGGATATTATTTGCTCGACGAATCATATAGAAACATGTTCAATTATTCAGAGACTAAATTAATACAATTGAAATATCAGAGACTAAAATGAGAAAAATCTCATATTTTAGGGACTATAGTGCAATTAATCCAAAAATAAAATTCGCCCTAGATGTAATTAATTAACCTCTATATAAAAATAGCTTCGCCTACCGAC